AAAAGGTTGACATGGAGAGCTTAGAAACCCAGAATGGCCCTGAACCTCACTGTATAGCACATCAGTTTTGAATCAGAGGTCCCTTGGAACCTTCTGGTTCAGCCTTCTTAACTCAGAAGGCAGAGATGAGGGGACCCATGGATGAGGCTCAAGGGGCTCCATGAATATCCTTGAAGACTTTCTATTCAAAATGTTGTGACTGTGTACATTTTCAGGGAGGGAAGGAGATACTTGAGGTTCATTATATTCTTAGAATTCCCCTGCCCCCCAAAGTGAACTGAGAAGTGCCGATCTGCTATCATTTATATAAAATAACAAGGATCCATATATTAGTGAAAGAATGGCATGTTTGGCCGAAGAGACTATTGCCCCACGTTCTTTTCAGCAGTGACCAACCACTCAAGGGATCGGTGGGACTGAGTCGGGACAACGAGAACTTTCACCTCACCCACATTGTTCAGATTTTTTCAACAACGGGATTACATTAGATATTATTTATTGAGTTAAAAAATTGAACGACTGATTTGATTGGTTTTTCTCATTTTTTCAATTGAGGAAATGAATTTCGGAGGTGTGGTGTAAGTGTCCGAGTGACACACCTTGGCAGAGGTGAGACCAGCAGCAAGTCTCCGGCATCTCACTCTCGGGCCCACTGCAGTGCCCTGGTGGCAGCTCCACTCGTGTGAAGGGGTCTCTGCTGCCCTCGAGAGGGTCCCCGGTTTTCAACTACGCTGCAGTGTGTTTGCACATGCAAGTACAGCTTTACAAGCCAAACAGTTTTACAAATATCATAATAATACCACCACCACTTCTTACACATAGTGGTAAGAAGGTAGTAAAAAAATGGATTTACACAGGATTTCAGAGTCAGAGGAATTCCAGAGCTTTTGGTTTTCGGAACTCTCCTTCTTTTGCTAGATCACACTGCCTGATCGGTATGAGCAGTCATTCTAAACGCACCTGGTGAGGACCAGCAACAACTGCTCGGAGCACGCCCTGAGACCTGAAGAGCAGGGACTCTGGAGGTAGACTGCCAGGTTCAAATCCTTTTTCCACTTATCTGCTGTGTGACTTGGGGCAAGTTGCTCAACCTCGGTTTTCTCACCTATAACATGGGAACAATAACAATACCACCTCTTAGGATTCTAGTTATATATGTAAAAGCACTTACCACTGTGCCAGGCATAATTCAATGTTAGCTGATCTTCTTCTTAGTGGAAGATTCTCAAAAGGGAGTCTCCTGTTTCAGGTACAGCACAGCTCGGGAAAAACAGGGACTCTGCATGTGGGAGAGTGTCAGGGAACACCTGCTGGCATGAGGTTTCAAGCTGTGTGTCCCCAGTGAAAGGCCAGGCATCAAAGAGGGCCATTCAGGGAAAAGTCCCTCCGTGCTCTTCTTTTCCCATTGTAGCCGGTTCCCCTTAAGGATGCGTTTCCTGTCACTCATTTTATAATTTTGTGGGGTGGGGATAAAACGAATGCTGACCCCCCAAAGAGTAGCTGCAGGGAAGAAAACTTTAAAGACTCTTTGAAACACCAACAATTCTAAATGTATTGGGAAAAAATCCTCCCAACTCCCTAAGAGTTGGCGTACCTCCTTAGCACTGGAGTTCTTCTCAGAGTGCATGAGAATGAGCCAGAGTGTTTATGAAAATAAAGATTCCTGGGCATGTCCCATGACATTTTGATCTAGTGACCCAGCATGGTTTTTGCGAGCTGAGTTTCCCAGTGTGCCTTCTGACCACCTGCTTTGAAATCACCTGTAGATTTGTTTAAAAGTGTAGCTTCCCAGATAATCCTGATCAGCATTAAAGTGTGAGGACCATCAGAAAAGATCTTTACCTAGATCTTTACCAGTGGCCTCTTCCAAGGCAGATCAAATAACAACGAGGTTCCAAGGGGGTCATTGTGCTGTGATAACTTAGGTGCAGAGGGAACCTGTTTGTGGCGATTTATCTGTGCCTTTGACCAGTGGCCACCAACTCTCAGAAGGCTCAAAGTGCCTATTTCTTCAGTGTTGGAGTTGAACTTGGTATCTCAGAGTTGAAATCTCCCTTCTCTCCTTGAACACTCATGCCACTGACTCAAGAATTTCTTTATGGTGTTGATTTATCAAATAAGTCACATCAATCTGGGATTAGCCCAGTCAAGAATTGTGTGTTATTTATAACTTGGGTTAAGAAGAGCTCATAAAAATTTCACTACTTGCCTCACACAAGCAGGGGGTAATGCTTCTATGATGCAGTAAACTCTCATTCCTCAGCTTGACAGACCAGGGTGCAGGAGTGCTAACAGATTCGTACAGTGGTCAGATGCGTACTGTTCAGCGTTTTGAATACAATTACTGTAGTGAAAACCTTTTTGCACAGACTAATGAGACTTTAAATGAGATCAACCAGGAGGCAGATCCAATCACTCACATAAGGGCTCTCTGGTTTCAAAAACAGACTGTTCTGTTCAATGAGAAAAAGACCAACAACCCAATAGGAAAATGGTGTAGCACTTGAAAAAGTGCTCAGCTTCACTCATAATGAAAGACATGCAAACTCCACGAGATGATTTTTTTCACCTCTTAGACTGGCAAAGATCGAGAAGTGTAACAGGCAAGAGTGCTGTGTATTGCTGCTGAGAACGTGAGTTAAAAGAAAGGTTTTGGAGGGAAGTTTGGCAATGTCTGTAAAAAATTCAAATGTGATGAAATAGACTCAGAAATTTTATTTAATTATTGATTCCAGAGAGAGAGGAAGGGGGAGAGAGAGAGAGACATCAATTTGTGGTTCTATTCATTCATTCATTCATTCATTCATTCATTCATTGGTATTGAGACAATGCTCCAACCAACGGAGCCACCAGCCCTCCCCTAAGAAAAAGCAAAATGACCAGATGGCAACAGTAACAATAGATCACAGCCTGTACCGTGTGGGTCACAGAAATCAGGGTTTCTCTGTGGTGGGCTGTGAGTGAGCAGGGGGAGTCTGCAGGGGCTGAAGGACTGAGTATTGACATATTTACAGTCCTGCTTTTTTAAAAATAAGGAATTTTACAGAGTTAAAATTGTGTTTGTCATAGATCGTGGGCAGTTTGAGGACCCTGGTTTTTCCCCCCAGGGAATGATTAAATCTTCCTTGAGACTGTTAATGTCCATGCAGAGAGCATTTTCCTAGTAGTCTTCCTCAGGCAGAGCCAGATCCAGTATGAAAACCCCAGAAAGTGAGGTACTGCGGGTCCAGGGACATTTAAGGGGAGTATTAGAGGCTGATGTGGGGTGGTTTTAAAAGCTCTGATTTTGTCCATTGTCTGTTTCACCCATTTTAAGTTTGGGTACCTGTATAAGCAGAAATGTTAGGTAGCCAAGATGTTAGATCAAGCAAGCCATTTATGACAACAAATGCAAGTCCATACAGAGTTTCCATAGCTATTCAAAGGAAATTGTAGGGTAAGCTAGGTGATTCAATAGTTATTGGGAAAGAAGGGCTGCTATTTCAAACCCACTGAGTAGTGAAGAATAACAGCTCTCTTTGAGAGCTAACACCGAACACCGAAGCTGTCAGCTTCCTCAAGGGTGTGCAGGTAGCTCCCCAGGTGTTTTAACTTTAGCCGCAGCCCAGGAAGAAAAACAGCCTTGGTTGTTCTCCCTTGAGGTCTGAGACGATCAGCAGGATGGCCCCTACCTTATCCTGAAACTCAAGGCTCTGCCTGGAGCGTCTCATTAGCTAAAAGAAGAAAACCCAAAAACCCACAAGAGGCCTTGGCTGGTTCTGAATTTGGTTTCAACAGAGAAAGAGTGACATATTCTGGGAGCTTCACTTCTCTATAAGATGCTCTCTGTGACCTTTTCAGAGCAAGCTCTCAAACAGAAACAGAAATTCATGACTCTGGAACTCGGCCATCCCACGGGGAGTCCCCTAGAGACAGGTCCACTGGATTTGCCCTGTTGGAACCCACTCTGGACTACAGCCAGTGTCCACTCTGGGGGCACTAACTGTAAATACCCAAGAGACGAGCATATTGGAAACCTTCCACCACCTGCCCACCTGTAAGTGAATCTGTGGATATTTGTGTGGGCAATCTACCAGCCATTGCTCTAGCATTTTCCACCAGCCAAATATTCACATAGACTTAATCCAATTTCTACCTCATACATTTTTGCCTGGTTCAATTTCTCTGGGCCTTCCTTGGTGCATTGTTGGTAATCTCATTTGCAACTGACCATATCTGAGAATGCCACATAGTATCTTCTGGTGGTGAGATGAATATAGGTTCAGATGCCTGAGTTTAAATCGTGGGTCTACCACACATCAGCTGGGCGACCCAGGGCCAGTTTCTTCACCGCTCTCTGCCCGAGTTTCTTTCTCTGTAAAATGGGATATAATAGTACCTATCCCATAGGGTTGCTTTCAGCATGTAAATAAGATCATCTATGTAGTGGACAGCACTTTTTCATTTTGGGTTTACATGAAGAGGAAGTAAAGCATACGCGAAACATTTAAAACAGGAGGAAGACATTCTTGATAATAAGAATTAGTGCTGGCTTGGATTACTGGAAGGGGGCATGGAATTAACTTAAAACAGAATAGAATTCTTCTCTTGAGATAATTGAGGTGTTCTCACTTGGTGATAGTTAATGGAGTAAATGACCTCTCACTACCCCTTCTAGATTCTCATCTAACTGCACACTCAGGGGCTGAATCGCAGGGTTAAACGTACCCCCAGGCCTAGCTCTCTTGGCAGTGGGAAGCCAGAAGTTCTAAGAGTTAATCTCCCAAATGTGCCGCTTAACTGTTGGCTGAAGGGTAGGTACAAGAAGACAGCTTGAGAGCCGCACTCCTCTTCTGCTCCATCCTTATGTTTCTGTTGCACAAATGCAGCAAAATGAGTAGCAATATTTTCATTGAAAATATGCCTCATGCAAATCAGTTTGGTAAATATGGAATTTAGCCTTTATAAAAGAGCACCTGTTCCCCTCCCTCCCATTCCTCCATTTAATTTTTGCATTCAGATGTGCTCTGCTTTTGCGTAAGCCTAGCCCCACACACTATTACAGGAACAGACTTGCTGGTTTTGAATCTGGCCATACACACTCCTATTTTCCAAGAAAAATCTTCTCTAAAAATTAGAGGCACCTGCGTGTTGCTTATTGAGTAGGCCTGAAGACTACTTCCATAGAAGTGAAATATATTGACGTTTTTAAAACTTGAGAACTATTCAGAGTTGGTCTGGACTCTTTCTGGGTTAAAACAGACAACGGGGCACATCTGAGGGTTGTTCCCGGTCTGCCCAAGGCCTCAGTGTGGACGGCAGCTTCATCCCCTCCGGGTGCGGTGAGGCTTGGGTTAACTGTTCTTCTCTGCAGAGGAGCTGGGGGGTTAGCTCAGCTGTGGTTTGGTCTGGGTGGTTTCCTTTTTCTCTTGCCTTCAGAGTGATATTTTAAAATCACAAACAGAACCTAGGGAGAGGAGGCCCAATTTGATACCTTTGAACCTTGATGGCCACTTTATAGATTCAGATTTAGAGGGATTGTTGGGTGGGGATTTGCAACCCAGGAGAGCCTTTCAGAGACTTTCATAGAGGGACACAGAATCTGAGTTTCCTGAAATGTGTGTGTTTTTGTGTAAGGCCTGTCAATAGAAATATCAAACTGTGAATATACAATTGAACTTTATTATTTCTTTTGATTTTGTAACTACATAGGTATGACAGACAGAGGCCGGTTTGAAAGGAAACGCACAATTGCCAGCGTGTCCCTTGTATGAATCCCACGGCTGGAAGTTTTTCTGTAAATCGGCATCTTCAGGTAGGGGCTGCACGGGTGCCTCCCACTGACTCTTGAGGTATGTTTTAATTAAGGAACATGAAATCTCTTAACTGTCTGTCACAGAGTGGAAGTGGCCTTGTGTCCTGAAATGTGACTCTGGAGATGGCATTGTGGGGCTCCATATTTACTCTGCACAACTTTCATTTCAAAGAATCTTACCTTGTGAGCCAAAGAGCTTTTTCTTTTCTTTTTTTCTTTTTTCCCCCTTTCTGCTTATCCCTGAAATGAACTAAACCAGAAATTCAAGAGTCAAGCTGTGCTCTTTCTGCCTCTGATGCTGTTAGAAAGCTGGAAGGTGGGAGCTGGTCTTCAAACAATTGTCCTCAAAATGAAAATCTTGCCCGACTGAGGGATGCAGAGAGTTGAGGCTAAGGCCACCTCTCACCTGCAGTAGCAGGAGTCAAACTGAAGGGCCACACTCTTCCTGGTGTTCTCAGTTGCTTAAAGTAACAGGAAGTGTGGCTTGACATTACTTCTTTAATTCTTTCCTCCCAAAACCTAGAGCTTAGTAAAATGGAGAAATGCATAGACTCTTTGTGAATAAAGTCACTACTAAGGATGCTTTCCATCTAAACCATTTAAGCAGAAGTTGCTAGAGGTAATGTAGGTTGGTAAAGTATTATTTATATGTTTATATAAAGTGTTATATAAAGTAACACAGATTGGTAAAGCACACTAGCTGAAGGTATTAAAAGCCAAGGCCAAGGTAATTAGTGTGATCTGAGACGAGGCATTTGATCCATTTCTGCATTTATATCATAAGAGCCTGGCCCAGATAGTCTATAAAATATTATTTTGGTTCCAAGATTCTATGACTGCAGCAACTGCAGTGATATGTTGAGGACGTAATGGAGACACAGGGAAGTTATAAACGATAGTCATTGCCAAGGACGCCCTTCAAAACCATGACAGAACGGCCTCTGGAAAGGAGAAGGGGGGCACAAGTTTGAGGTGACAGGCAAAGAAGATTTTAGCTATGTCTATAATTTCTTTTTCCTATTTAGAAGGAGACTGGACTCTCATATTAATTGTGCAGCTAAAAATTTATTTGAAATCCAGAAAACTCAAAAGTAAATTCTGTTACAATGAGCCAAAATGCTGTTTCCCTCCCCTGCCCAGCAAGTTGTAAAACAATGCATATAGTACGGTATCATTTATATAAAATGTGCTCACACTTACAACTATTCTATGTATTTTATACAGATGTATATGAATGTAAGTGTGCAGAGGTAGGTGTGGAAGTATATGTATAAGTAACCAAGCTGATAGCAATGGTTACTTCAGGAGCTGGAAGGTCTGTGTTGGATAGTGATGGCTGAAGATCATTTTAGACTCAGCTGTAGTGCTTTAAGGTTTTATAGGACTAATGGATTCATGAATTTCTTGTCTAATGGAGCCATACAATTTATACATATGAGATTTTGGGGTAAAGTGTATATGTGCACGCACACACACAAAACTTTTGCCCAAAATAAGAATTCACAGTGTCATTGAAGAAATTTCAAAGACTGTGAACATGCAACAACTGGAGAATAATCCTGAGGCAAGCTGTCGGCAAGCTCAGCTCACCTCCTTAGGGGAAGCCTTCCCTACCTATTATGCCCACGTTGGCCTTGCCCTTTTTGAATGCCCACCTTCAACATCACCTCTCTCCTCACCACACCTCTTTTCCCTCCCAGCATCTCCTTGGGTCCAGCCCAATAGATCCCTGAAACAGACATCATTTGCAACAGTTCATTCAAAGTTTCTACCTCAGAGGCACGAGCCTAGCGTCTTACTCCATTTGCTGTTTCTCTTCCCACTCTATGTACCTCAGCTGTCAAGGAGCACCTGTCCCTTGTCTCTGCTGGAAGCACGCCTCAGGGAGCCTCCGAACCATGCTGACCCTGAGCCCCCCAGAGGCCGGTCCACAGCCACGGTCTCAGAATCTCTAGATGAGGGCACCAGATGCCCTTCCTGGTAACTGGCACTGCAGAGGGTGTTTATGTCAGGCAGCATCCCCGAACATTGCTCCGCAGCCTCGCACAGCAGCGGCAAGACACCGAGGAGAGGAAGAAACACTTCTTTCTTGTGTGGGATGAACTACAAATGCCTTGGACTTTCCTACTCTTAGAGACCCGAAAGGAAGGCAATTTGGGATTGTGCATCCAAAACTTTATCCAGTAATGCCTTTTCCAGGATCCTTATAAAAAGAATAAGAAATGAAGATAAAGATTTATGTATAGATATTCACCATGCAGTTGTTTGTGGTTAAGTATGAAAATGGTTAAATGAAGTATGATTCTTCCCTGCAGTGGTACTATATAGTCACCCAAAAAAAGAAGGAGAATTTTTAAGTGCATAGTTCTATGTATGGCTACATATTAGGGAAGTAATCAGGAATCAAAACTGTATCATTAACATGATTATTTTATACCTAAACAAAAGGGCAGAGGAAAAAAGGCTGAAGGAATATAGGGAAAAAGAAAGATTAGCAAAAAGAGAGGTCCTAAAGAGATACGTACCTGAAAAAGAGTTCACTGACATAAATCAGCCCTCAGCCCCTGGCGCTCTTATCCTATCAGTACCAGTAATAAAGAAACACTGAGCAGACAATTTGGTTGACGATGTGGGAGGCAGAATATCACACAGCTGCTTTACCCGCAGCTGTATGGCTTCACAGTGTTGACAGTGTGAAAAAGAGGAAGACAAATAGGAAATAAAACCTTGTCTCGGGCTGGGAAAGAAGCAGATGGGATGTGAGCCTTGGTTTGATTGGTAGAAGTTACTGATCTGACTTGAATTTCAGACCTGTAATTTGTATCTTTTGATGAAGTTTCCATTATTTGTAGTTTTTCTTCCTCCCAGGGCTTCTATGTGGTTTTTTAACCAATATTTATTTCTATATGTTCTGTTTTATGCTTTAAAGAAACCTCTATATACAAAATCACTATAATATACATTTTTCTTTGAACCACCCCCCTCCCCACAGCACACACACACACACACACACACACACACACCCCATTCTCTCACCACCTCCAAGTGGTAAGTAAATTCCTCATATTATTGAAAATCCAAATTGAAGCTGGCATACTCGGGAAGAGTGAAGTGGTGGATTAAGTCATTTTTTAGTGAACTTCAGCTGGATAGACAATCTGCCTAACTATATCATGCTATTTTTCCCCTCAATAGCTGTCCTTTTTTTTTTCTTTTTTATGGCCAAAAATATATGAATGACATCCCGTCTCTCCCTTTCCCTTTGGCCAGAATCATCTTGTCCCTGCTCCTTAGGTCAGATGTCAAGTAATTAAGAGAATGATATTAACACATCAATTCTGAGAATTTTCTGTTTTATGAAAGCATCTATTTTAGAACTCTTGCAGGTGGCTGCGGCTCACAAAGCCTGTCAGATGTACTGGACTCTAAAAGGTTCAAGGGCTGCTCGTGTTTTTCAAATGCTATCCAAGGAATCTTTTCACAAGTCCCCGCTATTGTTCGACATAATTTTTGTGGCTCTTAGGGACTTAAATGCAACTGGACAATTTTAAAGAAACCAAAATATGACAAAGGAAATAATAGCCCTTTATTATAAAGCATTCTCTTCTTTCTCTTACCCTCCCTCCTCCACTTTTTGAGCCACTGCCCCAAGCTGGCTGATGCAACTTGTGTCTGAGAATGCTTGAAATTTTAGGGTTTTGACTGCACGGGTTTTGTAGAATATCTGAAGCATTGTGCACATATTAGATTACCATAAATTAGCAAGCTCTTTATTTTTATTTAGACCATGAGGACATTGAAAAGCAATGTACGGCTTTCAGGACAGGCTCATTTGATTGATTTAATACCAACTTGATAGTAATTATAATCTCCATAGAGTGAGATGCTCAGTGAATGAGACAGCGCTCTACGCTTGGCCAGGAAGGAAAACTACTTAAAATCATTTTAGTCTTTGAAATTATTTGTGAATTTTCAAAAGCAAATAGAAATACATCTATTTCTTCCATTTTACTTTGTCATTTTCCTCTTCTTAATCTCCCCAAAACTTCTCATTATCTTGAAAAACCTTTTTCAGAAATTCTATTCCATTTTCCTGTTCACCCTGTATGTAATAAAAATGTTGATGATAGTTGATATTTATGAAGTAATTACTATATGCAGGGCATGGAACTAAGCACTTTTTTACATATTAATTTATTTAAAACTCACAATAGTCCTCTGAGGTCAGTGCTACTATTATTTCCATTTTCCAGACAAGGACATTTGCTAATGCCCATATAGAAAAAGCCAATTTAAAACTCATTAGGATCAATAAATAAAACTGAAGTATAGCAGATTTATGAAATCTTCATGGGGTTAAAAAAGACAATTCCTCCAGCTCCTAAGTCTCATCTGAGAAGTTCACTCCAGGGAGAGTCAGCCCAGGAAACCAACACCCAGTATTTTCCTTCCAATATTGCCTACTACCACTACACCACCAGTCAAGATTTGAGAAGGAAAAGTTATCAACAGAGAGAAAAATGGGGACTCTCTCCTGTTCTAGCAACTAGAATACCATAAGGCAGGCAGGTAGTGAGTGAATTCCAGACTAGTAATGGGCCAGGCTTGGAGACTGGTGATGAGGGCTGGGGCTAAAATTTAGTTTATAACTGAAAAATGGAGTTAGGAAGAGATGTCAATATGAAACAGGGGTGAGTGAAAGAGAGTTTGTGGACAAGACCAAGAATAAAGGCTGCAGGGGGCTGACAGTGAGTCTTGGTCAGGAAATAGACAGGAGAAAGCTCTGACTCTCCATCAAGCCCTGCAGACCCTGGAGCCTGCCCGAGGGCCTTGTCAGGGGCACCACGGTCTTTCTCTTTCTGGCGTCCCCTTCTAATTGTGAAGCTCAATATGCTAATTCTGGTGGATGGTCCAGCTCCTGTTTTGTTTTGTTTTTTAAAAGAAAGAAATGTTTGGGAATGTGAAAAAGCTTAAGTAGGACAAACTGAAATTCTGCCAGTCTATTTTTCCAATGAGCAGAATCATTAGAAAAGGATAATAAAAGCGGAGAGCTTCATATTTATACGTTTCTGTGAGTAGAGTTTGCAAGGACTCTGAAACTGGTCATTCTGTCAGCTCTGGGTAACATCTGCTCAACCACAATGGAAACCACAGCTGGGTCAAGGCAGGGCTATGCATATACAAGAAAGAGACAGGGTGGCTTCCAGACAAATGGGGCGCATCTCCATTCAGCAAGTTATGACCCCAGGGCAAAGCCAAATCCAAGAACTATGACAAACACGGCTCAGGCGTGAGGCTGGGGGAAGCACATACTGCTTGTCTGAAGCTTTCTTTGCAGTCCTGGAACAAAGACCAGTGCCTCAGGCAGGGTGGGGGGTGGGAGGACCAATTCAACTTCTGAGTCAGAGGTATCCTTCCTACCTCCAGGCTGTTTCCTTCTCGTTTTGACTATAAATGGGATAATTACTAATTAGCTGATTATACAAATTATTTTTCAATCTAGACCTGTTTTTCCGCCCTCACCAGAGCACATCAGAAAAATGGTCTAAAAATTTCATTATTTTGTTTCCCATAGGCACCAACAGAATCCCTAATACAGCTGATATTTGACCAAAATCACTATAATTACCTCACTTCCTGTGGAAATTATAATTAATGGTCTCTAGTCTCCCAAGAGGTAAGAAAGCATCATAGTAAGTATAAATACTTATTGTATAAAATATTGCTTATATATTTAAGTTGGAAGACCAGGTTCACAGTTTTGCATTGTTTGTCCCTGTAGAACCTCACAAATTATAGACAAAATGTCATCAGTTCGAGTCGGGTTGTGGCCGGAGAGAGCACAGCTTCAGAACTTTCAGCACACAGTCCTACCAGTCATGCCTTTCATCTTAAAGAAGCCCTTATTAAAGCAGCGGTGTGGATGTTTATGTCTAACTTCAGTGGCACAATGTGCCATTTAGAGTAAGACTTAAATGAATATAAACATTTATATTCAGTGCGACACATTTAAATATTAGGCTTTTAGAAATGAACCCGTCTCCTTAGAGAACTGGTCATTTAATCCCCTCAATTAAGTTAAGAAAACAGAAGCTTGGAAAAGTAGGGGGCTTGCCCAAGGTTCCACAACTACTTAGAAAGAAAGCTAGGAATAGGTAGAGATCAGGTTTCCTCTCACATTAAACCTAAGTCTTGGTTTGCTGTATATAACGTCAAAGAGCTGAGCTAGATAGTCCTGAGGGGTGGGGGTGGGGGGCGGACAGTCCACCTCAGCTCTCAAATGTGCTGATTCTCCTGGGCCTGAGCAAGCCTTCACACCAGCACAGGTGTGGCGCTGACTTCCTTCCATTCAGCTCTGACCCAGGGAGGCACAGCAGCTTCGCTGTCAGAGGTTTTTCACCCCTAAAATTATACAGGGTTCAAGTGCACAGTTCCACAATATCATGTCTACGTTGCATTGTGTGCTAACCACCCCAGGTCAAGTCTCTGCCATCACCACTTATTTCCCTTTACCGTCTTCTACCCTCTGGCAATCACCATCCTGCTGTCTGTATCCGTGAGTCTTTTTTTTCTTTGCTTAATTTCTTCACCCTTCTCACCCAGACCCCAACTCCATCTCCTCTGGCAGCTGTCAGTCTGTTCTCTGTATCTGTGAGGCTGTCTCTACTGTGTTAGTTTATTTTTTCATTAGGCTCCACGTATAAGTGAAATTATACTGTACTTGTCTTTCTCTGACTGTCATTCACACGTCTTTGAATCCCTCACCCTGCTCATTTTTGACATTGGGTGAAGATCTCCAAGTCTCTAACCCATTCATTCTGTCAAGATCCCCGTCTTGTTCAATTCTTTCTTGGTCAGACAGGCTTGCCCTTTTGACTGGGGTCTGTGTTTATTTTCTTCTGACCCCAGCTCACAGTGCCCTGGCATGCCAGCCCGTCCCCCAGCACCGGTACTCATGGGCCTTCCAACACGATTGAGGGGAACTGGGGAAGAGATGGGTACATAATTTGCAGGTCCCTGTGCAAAATGATAATGCATGCTACTTACTCATGATTCGTGGAATCTAGTTCAAAATGAAAGTGTGAGTCAAGATACTAAAAATATAAAGCTTTTTCTTTTCTTTATGGTCTCTTTCTCTTGACTTGTGTTTTTTTTATTTTTACTGTACATTTTTATATCATGCAATCCCACTTTTAAATTCAAATATAACCTGTCAGTAGAATCAATGAAATGATACAGTTTGTATTTCCTAGCTCATTCATGCGTATATACTTTGTTCTTACAAGAACAATGGAAATGCTGGGTAAAACTACCATGGTTCTTTTTATTGTGCTTCCTTCTTGACACACACACATATCAAAACTGTCTATCTTCCACTTATTGATGAGTAAGGAAAGACTTCAAGGAAAGGAATTGTATTTTGCTCTTTCTCTGTCCTTCCATGTCATCTTTTTCAGCATAGGTGATTGGCTAACACAGGGAAGTAACATGGATAAGAAAGAATATGATAGTGTTTCTTAGAACACCATTTCCTTCCTTCTGTGTTGGAAGCAAGTTCTGATGTCAGCACCCCCGTTTACTCAGTCATAGATATAACACTCTTACCTGGTACTATGTTTGAGTCTCCCAGAACTCCTTAGCATCGTGGGTTCATGGGAATTCTGTGCTCATGGAACTTTGTGAATGGTATGTGTGAATGGGGCATCAAGGATAATAGACATGCATATAGTGTCGTCTCCTCTGCTCACACGCATGACCCATTGTCCCATTAGACTTCATGTTCAAAACACAAGTTCAAAGATAAAACTCTTAAGAATTCCAAGGTGGCAGCAGCAGAGCATTGAACTAGCATGGGACCCTTCTGAGTTGGGGATCCTATCCAACAGCACAGGTGACACATTCACAAAGCTGGGGGTACATGCTATTGTGCAACTAGAAAATTATCCTGGTGCATCATGAAATGTAGACACCTACACTCCAGTAACTGAAAGGGGAATACATAAAGATGCTGCAGTATAGGGACAGCAAGAATCCTACCCACACACTGGGACAGTATTCCTGGAGCTCCTGTGCTGGGCTGGGTCCACTGGTCCGACCAGTGCTCCAGGAGACTTGCTCAATGCCCTCTCAGAAATCCTTTCCTGGTCCGTGAGCACCAGCACATCCTAGACCATGTCCAAGCCTAGAAATGATCCAATGTGACTTAGGAAGCCGGCAGACCCAGAGCCTTTCTCTTTACCTTCCTCCTCCTCCTCCTTTCCCCCTTCTTATTTTCTGGAGTAAATCCAAGTTCTGCTATTCCTTTCTACACTAATAGAATAGGAGCCAGCTCACAAGCTGGCTTTGATGTTAGAAACAGAAAGTCCTGTTTACGTTTTTTAGTTGGAGAAGGGGAAGGGCAGACAGTGGGAAATACTTCCATTCCTCCTCATAAGTTATACACCAAAAGTTGAGCAGAAGCTACTTTCTAGTAGTTTCTTCTTGTAAAATGTCAAGTAGTAAATTACAAATCAGGTTTTTAGCAGGTTACCCCACCCATAAGTGTTTGCTGGGTCACCCAGCTAGGTGTAAGACCAGCGTTGAGGAGTATCGCTTTAGAGGGAAGAGGGGCCACCCAAATCAAGAGAGGATATGAGACAGAGCTGAAGGTGAAGGAGGGAGCCCATACGTTGCTGTCACCTTGTACATAGGGAGGTGTTCTTATCCTTATTTACACACAGGATTTGGAGTACAGGGATTGTGACTACCAAAGTTAAAGCGACACTGATTCTCTGGAACAAATTTATGATTATATACCCATTTTTATGTAAATAAAACCCAAGATTCTCATCACTAAGTATCAGAATTTATACATAAAAATTGTTCATTGTACATATCTATATATGGATATGCAGTATTGCCTATATGAGAAAGTGGCCTTACAAATACTACTCACCTATATACCTACATATGCAGATGGTCTATATCTGTACATCTATAAGAGAAAGTGGTCTTACAGTCCTACGAACAACTTTGGCCGCTCAATGAGCTTCTTTGATTGGATAAGAAATCGTATGTAACCTGATTTAAGTTGCCAATTTCAATCAGAGCTTCACTCTGTGAGACAGGCAGACATATAAACTGAGCTAGTGTGACTGATAGCTAACAGTTCCAGAAATCCAACACAGGGAGTGTTTTTTTGAAATAAAAATGTATACAGGATTGGAATGTTGATAAGACATTTGCAAATGTATATAGAAATATGATAATTTATACTATTTTGTGAAAAGATTCCTGGTTGGCATTAGTGATGTGTCATATGATTGCATTAATTGCAAAGAAGAAACTCAAAATGGCATAATTGTGCCTGATGTTCAAGTAATAGAAATGGAATTTAAAGTGTTGTAGAAGATGGAAAATGTTACTGAGGTGAAAAGGTTTTAAAAACATGAATGTGAAACCAAACCATTAGCTCATGTAACCCTTTCGAGGTGGTGTTCAGTACACAGCAGAGCCCCTGCAAACCACCGTGACCCGGACGAGGACGAAAGAAAAGTGGTGGGTGAGCACCAGCCTACAGTGGGTTGTATCTGAAGGTGCCAAAGGGGATGGTCACGTGTTGAAATAATCTCACATCGTTAGATCCTAAATAAATACCCTGCCTCTGTGATCTGAGAGGCAAGCAGCCTTGCACAGTGGCACTTGGCTGTCTTAGTAAGAGCTGCGGCACCACATGGTGGCCTGGAGCATGGACTCTGCACATCAGACTGCCTGAGTTCAAATCCTGGCTCAGCTGCCAGCTAGCTGTGTGTATCCTCTGGCAAATCACTGTGCTTCTCTGGGCCTTTTATAAAATGTATAAAATGCCAGTGTCGTTCATTGGACCTTTCTTCAGCCAGTGGTAAGATTGAATGAGTTAATATTTGTAGAACTTTTGAGACAGTACCTGGCAAGGAATAAATGATACAAAAGTGTTTTTTAAGTAAAAAAAAAAATTAGTTGATTATTTAATGTATACATAGTGTGTGTTTGTAGTCAGTATGCGCTCTGCAGACTCATCCCGTCAGATGTCTCCTTGGTTATAGAGCCAATAATGAAACTCACTCAATCACCATGAGCTCAGCAGAGATGAGTGTTCTACCCTGGTGAGCCACTCCCTGGGCTAAGGCAGTGTCCGCTCACTCACAGCCTAGCCGAGGAGGTGGGCCCAGGTGGCCGTATTTGCAGCTCTGACCACAGCTGGTTGGGCCAGAAAATATAGGGCCAGCCAAGGGATCCTGACTAAATCTGAACAAAAAGAGTCCTTCGCTAAGAAAACTAAAATGGGAGAAATGAAACACTGAATGTGCTAACTTTGTGGAGCTGAAAGGCACGGTCACATAGAACCAAGCAGGAGTAAGCATCATCTCAAGGCAGTCACATACCAGCATTGGGTGTGGGAGGGCCGGTCCGTGAGATCTCCCCATGTCCTTACAATAAATCCCCTTTCCTCTTGAGCAAGTTGGAATGGGTTATTGTGCCTGGCAGCCCTGAGACAGTGCTAGAAGTCATGCTGGAAAATAATTATGGAACACCTTCTCTTGTCCCCACCATTGGGCCTGGTGCTGACTATGAGGACTAGAAAGACCACCCATTTATTGAGGTGCTAAGGGTGGCAGGCACTGCTAGCACTTTGATATTATCTGACATAAGCATCTA